GAAAAGTTTTCTTCTGCATGTGACATGTCCTCTTATTACATAGTCTGCTCTAGATGTAGCCAGTTAAATGCTCCTATCTTCCCCCAACACAGTGCGTGCAGAGGTGTTTTTCTTCAGTGGTGATTCTAGCCACGCCAGGGGTGGGTGATTTAAAAAAAAAAAACTACACTATTGTTTGTTATAAATACTCACTCATAGGTTCAATTTTTATAGTACATTGTTATGAATGTGAGGCTTTTACTATGGAGGAGAAGTGTATATCCCCATACACAAGAGCCCCCAAAACGACTGCATAAAACCTCTGTGCCAGTGGTCTCCAACCTTTTTATGCCCAAGATCACTTTTGGAATCTAAGGGCAACTCAGGATCTACCTGCCCCGCTCACTCCATCCCTCCCCCCTTTGCTCACTCTCCCCCACCCTCACTCACTTTCACCAGGCTGGGGCAGGGGGTTGGGGTTCAGGAGGGTGTGCGGGCTCTGGGCTGGGGCCAAGGGGTTTGCAATGTGAGAGGGGGCTCTAGCGGGTTGTGTCAAGGCTGGGGTGCAGAAGAGGATATGGGATGCTGGCTCTGGAAGAGGGCTGGGGTGCAGGGGGGGTATGAGGTGTTGCTTCCTGCTAGGCAGCACTTACCTCTGGTGGCTTCCCATCAGCGGCAGGCACAACGAGGTTAAAGCAGGCTCCCTGCCTACCCCGGTCACACACCGCTCCTGGAAGGAGCTAATGCGCCCCTGGGGTGGGGGGAAAGGGGGTACATGGCTCTGCACGCTGCCCCTGTCTGCAAGCACAGCCCCCCACAGCTCTCCTGGCCAATGGGAGCTGCGGGGGTGGTGCTTGCAGGCAGGAGCAGCATGCATGGAGGGAGACCCCTGCCCCCCCCCGGGGCTGCAGTGGCCGCTTCCAGGAGCAGTGTGGAGCCGGGGTAGCCTTAGGCGGCCACACTGCACTGCCACCGGAGATCGCGATCAACTGGGAGATCCTCTAGGATTGACCAGCTGATAGTAATCGACTGGTTGGTGACCACTGCTCTATGCTGACCAAGGACCTGATCTTGCAGAAACTTCTCGGGTCCTGTTGACTTCAGTGGCAGTTCCACATCCATGGAAAATTGCATTATTGTGTCACAACTGATGACATTAGAAACAAAATACAGAAAGGCCACTCATTAGTTGTGTATAGTAATGACTGATCTGGAAAAATGCAAGCCTTGTTTTAGCTTTCTAAAGATGGGGGATGGAAGGAAGATACATTTTGATCCCATCTCAGAATTGGTTAGCATGTTTCTCCTGGTTTTGATCCAGTCCAAGAGATCAGATGCTTAAATTTTTTATCTTGAAAAATTAATAGATGGTACTTTCATGCTGAAGTTTTAAAGCGTACTCATCCTGGCTGAACTACAGTCCTGCAACCTACCTAACACAACCAAATATAACATAATGGAGTTCAGAAGGACTTCTGGGTAGACCGCAGTCAAAGTTAAAGATATCCCTTTTATTAACATGCTCATAGTAATGATTTTTAAAACAGTATTTAGCAGCAAAGCAGATTTCATTCTAGAGATTTTATTCTATTATAATAATTTGCATTTTTCTTGTACCTTCTATCTAAGGATCCCATTATGCTTTACAAACATGAATGAGCCAAATCTCAACACTCACTGAGAGAGGAAAGTACCTCCATTTTACAGGTGGAAAAACTGAGGCACAAAGGTTGATTTACACAGGAAATCTGTGACGGGATGGGAATACAAGCCAGACTTCCTGATTCCCACTCCTGTGCTTCAGCCACAAGTACATCCCACCCCTGTAACTTTAAATGAATAATTAGCTGATTATTATGGAGCATTATAGAGGTTATGAATTTTTATCTGTACTGAAAACTGGATGTTTGTGTCCCTCCCCCCCATGTTTTTAAATATTAAAATAAAATGTTTATAATAATGTTTTTAGAATTTTCAGTACTTTGATTTAACAGTTTAGAAAGGTCACTGAATTGACCTTGAACTGAACAGTGTTGGTTCATCTCTGGATCAGACTCAGTATATGGTCAATTTCACATGAAACCATTTTGCTATATTAAATATTTTTTAAGATTCCACTCATCCTTACTTGGACAGAATTCCATTAAAGTTAAAGGGAGTTCTATCTGAGTAAGGATGGCAGGATTTGGACCTTTTATTTTATATAGTTCAGCTTTTAAAGCAAAGCTTAATAAATCCTAATCAATGTAATTTACAAGTGATTGTCTGAAACCTTGTAATCTGTTCTATTCACATTCTTATACCTGAATATTGGACCATACAGCACTGTACACAAAACTTCTAATTGTCCAGATTTGGAAAGATTAGGCCAGTAAACTTTTATATTTGATGTCCTATACTTGATTCTCCAAATAGTTGTACTGGGGTCAAATGAGCAATTGTACCCACTCATATAGTCCATATTTCGGTAATGAAATTGGAGAACATTATAAATATTTGAATTGCAGTAAGAGCTTTTTTGGATCGTTAAAGCTGCTGTGATAAATAGTTGCTTTCTGGTCACCGTAAACCAAGTTAAAAATCACAAGACTACATACTGTGCCCACTTATTTACGGCGCTCAGCACCAGAACAAAATCTTTATATGTAAACATGTAGCAAGAGTGACCGTTTTATTAGGATTCCACTGTGGGAAAAGTACAGAACATTTTGGGAGTGTCGTCAAGGTCAATAGAAACAGCACAAAAGTGAAATGTACAAATATCTCACAAAAGTGTTTTCCATTCTTTTTCTTTTGTTACCTTAAAGAATATTCCTCACACACGAAACATGCTTGTTTAAAATTCTGTTCATAGGTGTACGCATAATTTGTTTCCAGGAAGGCTACATAGTGGACTAGCAGCAAAGGAATGTGACTTTACATTTTGTATGTGACTTGGTTTTTTAAAATAAAGTTTGGTGTTTGCAGTGCATTCATCCAGTCATTCCTGTGCAGCCTCACCAGAAATCTTAAACCAAGAGACCATTTTCTCTAGGGATCACACCCCGCACTAATGAACAGAAGTTTTGAATTGCGTATGGTGGTTTTTCCCTTAAATGTAATCTCTTGCCCACTAAGGACAGACCTGAGACCATCACATCGGGCACGTAGCCCTTTCTATATCTAAAAGATGTTTTGAATTTTTCCCCCCCCAGTCTGTAGCTCTGAACGAGGTGACTGGGGTATCTCCTAAGCTTTGCCAAGTTAAAAATGATAAACTAAGTAATATGAATGCAGAACATGAAGATATTACAATGGTAGGAAAATAAATAAAGGAATATTCTAGGTTTGCTTGCTTTTCTTTCTTAGGACACAATCCTGCAGTAACATGCCACCGAATGTAGTGCTTACTACTGAGAGATGTCCCCTTTGAATTCCTCAGGGGTTCAAGCGCTGTAACTATTTGCAGGAGGTGGCCCTTAATTTCCAGTTCCACTCTTTCCCTGCTCAGCCTGCTCTTTATTTAGAGACTTCTTCTTGAATACATCCCTCCCTGACCTTTCTTGGTTAATTAAAAAAAAAAAATAGGCACCTGTTGTCCAGCTCAAATGCTTAATGCAAAGAACTACTGTTATTCTCTATGGCATGTAACATTAATTAGTCTCCTTTAATTTTTGCATGATTTTTCAATTTCATTTTTTAGAAGTTTCATAGATGTGCTTAGTTTATATGTCCCATCCCACATTCTCCCCACCCCCCAAATAAAAAAAAAATCAGTACCATTCCTTCTGTATTGGAAAAACAACATATTCTAATCATCACGGGATGGATCGCCTCTCCTACCATAAAACCGACAGGAGAGGAATAAGGGAAACCTGTGCAAAGTTCCTTCAGAGTTTCTCCCATGATATTCTGTCAAGGGAAAGGAGAGGCTGGGTTCCGACCCACCCAGAAAGGGTTTGGGGTTAGATCGCACACAGCTCAAAGGATCCCTGAAGGATCTGCAGGAGGCCCGCACTCCCCCACATGGAAACCCCGTGCCCCCTCAACTAGCTCTGGAGCACTTGTGGCTGCCCATAGGACCTCGTTTAAAAGCCAAGCCTCTCTCCCTTCTGCTGCTTCCTGCTCTCCTTCCAGAGTGCAACCCTGCAGGGCACTGCTCCGTCCAGAGGAGGTGGTGACATGGGCAGGGTGAGAGCAACGTGCCAAAGGTCTCGTCCTTATGTGAATCAAGGTGGGCAAAATCCAGCTCCATCAAACTGTTACAGCAGTGTTCAAGCTACTGCAATCGAAGTTAAACAGAACTCAAAATATTGAACCATATCATCAATGGCAGTAAAACTTATTGAAATCAAGGAGGCTTAACCAATTTACACCAGTGGATTTGGTCCATTCTTTACAAACATACTTTACCAACTTTTAGCAACCATGTATTTTTCTCTCTCAAACACAATTAATCCTACTTGCCAGGCATATTGCACTCTCCATCGGAGGATCTCAAAACGCATCCTATTTTAAGGAAAAAAGACTTGCTGTACCTGTGTCATAGGTCAGCAGTATATCCCTATTTTACAGATAAGGAAACTGAAGCACAGAGAGGTTATATATGACTTGCCTGAGGTCATGTGGTGAGTCTGACAACCAAGAATTGAACCCAAACTTCCCAATGCTCAGTCTCATGCCTAAACCAAAACCCAGCCTTTTCCTCTAGCGTTAGATTTACAGTTTTGTGGTTAAACCCTTATTAGTAATATCTAATTTAAATGACAGAATAGGATTGATTCATATTCTATATCTATATATTCTGAGCCCTCTGAAACTGAAATCTCACAGTTGGCAGCTCATTTGCCTTAAGCTGTACAACAGAATGGTTGAGAGGGTTTTGAGTGGTTTCTTGCTGGCTAAATATAACAAAACATAAAAAATGCTCAGCTTCCTTCATCTCATTGTAAAAAACAATGTAACATTGTCCAGGGTTATGCTTTGTTTATCAAATTTGTGTCCTGTGAACTATGAAACTCAAATATTGTCAACTCTTTCAGGAGGAAAATGAGATTCCTGCCAACGTGTTTGTGAAAGAACCCGTTCCCAGTATTACAGAAGGAAAGGAAGAGTCTGTGGATGAGAACAAAACTCTGGAAGAAACCTTGCATACGGTGGAGCTGTCTTCCGATGATGAAATGCCTCATGACGAAGATGGTCTGGATGACAGCGTAGAGGAAAAAATGGGAGAATCAAGAGCTGAGAAGATAAAAAGATCAAGCCTCAAGAAAGTGGACAGCCTCAAGAAAGCATTTTCTCGCCAAAATATTGAGAAAAAGATGAACAAGATCAGCACAAAAATCGTCTCAGTTGAACGACGGGAGAAGATTAAGAAATCGCTCACTCCACATCATCAGAAATCCTCCTCCTCAAAAAGCTCCTCTTTCAAAGCGTCTCCCCTCCCATTGAACGTGAAGAAAGTCCATGAAGGAGAGACCCCTGCTGAAAACGAGGACAAACCAACAGAAACGACAAGCAGTGAGCAGGCAGTGAATGAGGAGGAGACCTCGTTCACTGAGGGGCTCTCGGATATCACACCTCCAACTTCTCTAATTGAGGAAGGCAAAGCAATAGCTGATTCTCTGGAGAAAGAAAGCAGAGAAGGGGACGTGACGATCAACAGCAACATTGAGCTCTCAATTGTTGAAGATGATGAAGAATATGGGACAGCACTAGAAGTTTCTAGCCAGAGACTGTATGATGAAAGAAACAAGCCAACCAGTGGGGAAACAGAACAATCTGATGAAGAATCAACTCAAGCAGCTGTTCTCCAGATAGACCAAACTGCATAATAAATCTGAGCCTTCCTTTGTGTTCAGAAATGCAAACAGGTTTAGTTAAGCAAAGAAGCAGTGTATATTTCTGTTACACATACAATGTATCGGGTGACAGTGATTAAGTTTGTTGTTTTCTGTGCAGTGCTAATGTATTGCATAGTATTGAGATGCAGAGTGAACAAGGTCTACTATGCAGGCAACCTACAAGGTGCTCCACTCCTATACTTGGTCAAACAGCTGGTAATATTAATTTAGAGTTGCTGCAGTCAGTTGCAATTGGAGAGATCAGGAAAAGAACTTGACCAGTGGAGGCAGGCTGGTCAACTGGATTTTTAAGTTAGATCAGGGATGTGCTTGGATAGTAGTCAAGAAATATTTTTTTTCCTTCTTATTGCAGTATTTTGTAGCTGTGTAGTAGTTTTTTATATAAACTTAATGTCACTGAACACTCTAGCTTAGCTTACCTTGCCATGTCCTGGATATGCTAATGGATTCAGTAATTGTTGTATATACATGTATATTTTATTTTGGGCATGGCTCCATTTTACATTCTGACTAAAAGAGCAGAATATGCAAAGGGTGAAATCCTGCCTCCTGAAATCAGGGGAGTTTTGCCATTGAGTCAGTGGGGCCAGGATTTCACCCAGAGTCTTTTGTTAGTCACTTAATAGAAACAACTGTGTTTATATGGCAAAGGGAGACAGGATTTTGTAATTTACAGCAGTTTATAGAAATAGATGACTGACCAGGATGAATGTGTTACTAGCTACAGTACTTACCATGAGATCTTAGGTAATTCTTGGCAAAAACAGTGACAGAGATAGAAACAAGGGATGATATGATAGAAACTTAGAGGCAATATGATGAAAGATCAGAAGGGGAGAATGTGAAAAAGAAATGGAAAAAAATCTCTACTGCCAGTATAAAGACTATACACTCAAATAACACAATTAAATTTCTACTTATTCCTTAGAGCAGTATATTTTCCATCTTTGCACCTGTACTTAAGAATATTTTGAAAATAGCATAAAACTTATCTATATAAAGATTTTCATATATGTAATGCTATACCTACAGAATAGTTACATAGTCACAGGGATGTAAGGACATGGTAAAGTTTCATGTTTCTGGTCAAGATGTTAAAGGATAACAGTATGTTGTGGTTTTAACTGTTTGGCAAAGAGGCCAATTTATAAATCCGTGGGGTTGGATTCTCCACTAATGTTACAACTTTCACACACAAAAAATCCTATATATTCTCAAATTACAGGTTGCAAATTTTGAAAAGGCATTAAAAATGAGGGGTTAAAGAAATTTCATTCCCTTTGAATTTTCATTCCAGCTACTTATAAATGAAAAAAAAAACCCCTTAATTGCCTTACATCCATGTTATTTTTATGCATTGTTTGTTTGTTTTCTGTTGTTTCCTGAATACTGAATTCTTGTTACATAACATTGCACTAACATGTTGCTTCCTTCCTTGTATAAAATTACAAATGATTTAAAGTTTTCTAAGAAAAAAATACACATTACAGAATGCTTACCAGAGATCACACCATGGAGGGAAGCAGTCTCTTGAACCAGTAAATCGCACTGGAAATTAGCCTATAAGCATAGCGGATTTTAAATAGGCACTGTTAAAAGTTAAGCTCTTTATTATATAGTATCATACAAGAACTATCATCTGTAAGAAGAATGATGACATAATCCATGCAGCTACATTATTTTGTATTAACCAAAATGTAACTCAGTTATTCAATACTTGTAACTAACTACAGATGTGATGAAGTAAATAAAAATAAAAAAATCAAACTAATACAACCATGTCAGTGTTTGGGCAAAGAAATGAGAGAGGTTGGTAAAAACAGAATTAAAGACTAAACATTTACTACTTGGTTTATGTCCCAATTGACCCAATAACATTTATTTCTTGTTCCCTTGTTCTTATTTAGAAATCCAAGCACCATTTCTCAAATTTAACTTTTCAAACATCACCTTGCCAGCTTGCTAAAGCATCTGAATATTTTCAGACAGCTTGGTAAATTTGATAGTTCCATCTGCATTTTTATTGCATTGTACTAGGCTTTTAATACTTTAAATACTCCTACAAGCATAATTGTATTGAACTGTACATTTTGTTTAGTCACACAGATAAATTTGTGTCTTCTAGAGTGCCACATAGCCTTAGTAGACTTAATTTTACTGACAGGCCAAAGCATACATGTTTAACCTTTATGGAACATGTGTCAACTTCTTGCAGCCATGAAATGCTAGCTAGGGAACCTAACAATGTCTGTTTTGTTTCTCCTCGTAAGCTTTAATTCAAACAGTACTACTGAAAAAATGGCAGACAGACACTTTTTGTTATGTTTTACAGACACTGGACTTAATTACATGCTCGGTGTTTTAAGAGTTTTAAAACCCCATACAGTAAGAACTCCAGGTGTTCAGCACCTTTGGAAAAATCAGCCCAATAGATAATTAGTACAAATAATTACTTCAAGAAACATTGTATACACAGGGATTAGTCATAGGGCCAGAATTAAACTTTTTTCTAAGATTATATATTTATACATTTACAAGGACCAACAGGTCTGTAATCCTAGCAACATAAAATTATCTTTGTATAAAATTCATATGTTTATTCTGTTGTCTGCTATCTGCTTTATTGCATCCCATAACTCAGCTTGGAACAAAGGAATTTCTCTCTCTATCTTAAAGTCCCTTTCTGTCTTTGATTTCCTTGACTCCTGAAAATGAATATTAGTCCCTATAATATACTTTCATGGGCAAATGTCTGCAGTGATATTTTTCAAAAAAAAAAAAATTAAAATATGTGATTGTCAACCTGACATTTCACCCAGGGGCATGATTATTCTTTTTTGTGATGACAGGTATTTATATATTTAAACAAAGGTGCATCTACTTCTCTGGACACCCTTGATATCATGTTAAAAATGTAGGTCTCTTAACGTGAGTTTTGTGCAAAGATTAAGTTCAGTAAGGACCATATGGTTGAAATACTTACATTAGTGGCAGCCTATAGCAGCTAGTGCTTCTATTTCCAGTGCCATAAAAACTGCTGACATTCCTATCCACTTCTGGGTGAAAAGGCAAGGAGCATCCCTTTGACCTTCATTCGTTATCTCTGGCACTGAACACTATAAGAAGACACTTCTGTGAAAAGACATGGTGATATGGGCCTTCTCTATCCCTTTATTATCAAATAAGGAGAGCTTGCACTACAAAAGCTTTGTTGATCAAAAAGAAAGAAGATATACATGCCAGAAGTTACAGTATTTTTACACTGTTTACGTTGAAGAAATTAAAATAAAGTTTTCCATCTGGCCTGGTAACCTCTATAATGCGAACATTAATTGATGGCCATACAAGTTATAGCGTTGGGTATGCTCAGTAAAGCTAGTGCAAAAATGACACCTTGTTAGTGAACATACCTGCTGACAAGGGAACCAGTCCAATAGCCACTAATGTCAGTGGAAAGACTCCCGTTGACTTCAGTGGGTTTAGATTGGGCTCTGAGTCACATTATGCCCCAGAGCCATACATACAATTCCCATTGATTTGAGGACATGATATGGCTCTGTATCTCCCTAATCCTATTCGCTTAGTTCATCGACAGAATAAAAAGTTTTACTGCTGTCAGCAGCACAGAGCCAACACAGCTGCAGAAAAGCAAGCTCTATTCTGCTTTGAATGGTGCATCATTAGCAAAATTTCCAGCTAAGTTCTGATTCCAGGGTCTTTACTGTTGGTAATTACATACAAAGGAGAGAACACAGCTCGATTTTCAGATAAATTGAGGTTGCAGTTGGGGGAAAAAAAAATCTTGTTTTGAACCTATAACCTGAGCAAACATGCTGCAGAAGCCACTGATGGAGCATGAACATGAAATGTCAAGCTGTCATTTTCACAGCCAATTTTCTTACCATACCTCATCATTGAAAGTGCTGGAGGGCAACTGTGGTTTGCAAACCCATCCCTTCTAATTATTTTTCCCGCTAAAGGTGAGTAAGATAAGATGGGCTAGATTCAGGGGTGTAAAGATTGCAGTTTTCTGTGCCACCTCAATCCCCTGCTTGCTAGTGGGAAGATTAATCTCAAAGAAGGGCAGGCAGTTGTACTACCACCTACCTTTGTTAGTGCTTGGCTTACGTTCATAGCTGGAGCTCCTTAGGAGACTGCAATTGCTGAATCTACAGGGCTACACCCTGCTTCTGGTCCGGCCCCTCTCATTCCCAAGCTAGTGGAAGAGAGGCTGTAGCTTCTTTCTGCTGCTTTGGAGTTTCTATTGCTGGAGTCCTGTGCCAGCACCAACCCCAGGTGGAATCTAGCTGTATGGATGTAGAATCCTTAAGACATTTATGCCCCTTTCTGCTTTCTCTGCCCTTTTTTCAACCATGTCCCCTTCCTTTTCCCCTCCCACTCAAACATACATGCTGCTGTTCGAGGTACACACTAAATTCACTCAACTAACTTTTCTAATTGTGTATGTTTTGATTTAACCATCAGTTTAACCTTCAGTGTCTCTTGTGTGGGCATCCCACGTACTGAAGTGCATTGCTCTAACACAAAATGAATCTGCTAGAGTTTGCTATTTATCTTTCTTTCAAATCAGGGATTAGCATCTACTGTATGACCTTTGGCACTAACCTCCTTTTCCATAGCAACACAAAAGGGAACAAACTATGAGTCATAATTTCTCTGTAGGACATTTGGGGGGGGGAGGGAGGGGGTAATTTTGATCATTTTATAGTTCCTAAAATATATTAGCTGATTTATAGCTCTGGCATACCAGCTTTTGATTCTGTTTTGCCTGAATATACAGAGAGAAGAGGTCTCCATTACTCTTTTTTGCTGTGTGATTGTGACAAGACTGAGCTAGACATTAAACAATATATTTGACCCTAATTGTAATTCTCTGGGTCTTTAAGCTCCAATGGCATTCAGTTTTCCTACAAAAAGATAGTCGTTTGCCTTAGTTTTAATAATTTTAAATGATACTGATCTGCAAAAAAAAAAACATGTGACTCTCAACGTGCTTTGTAAATTGGGTTCTGACAGCTGGATTGGATCCCATCTGAAAACCACTACATATCATACTTCATGGCTGTTAACTTGTAGGCATGCTATGCTGTCAGTAAGTAGCTTTAAATCCTCCCACATTTTTGCTCACATGTAACGGTGGCAAAATACAGCCTGAAATAAAGTATATCTGTCTCAGTGCAACAGGAGTAGAGTGCTCTGTGCTTCCACGAGTGGGGATCTAGTTTAGGAACAACCTACTGTAAATAGTACATTCCTTGAAGCACCTCTGTGGAGTGGAGGTATCAAACAGGTGATATGACTGTGTTTGAGGGAGTCTAACTGCCAGCTACATTCCTCTTCCAGCGTAATCTGCTATTGCCTGGAGTGAAGGATTCAAGACACCCTGCGGTGCAGTCCACCCATTTACTTCAATAGGAGTAGGATTGGGGGCCTACCGGGAAAGCGGATTGGTAACAGAAAAACAAAATTGGTTAACTGCCATAACCTCCAATGAAGTGTAAACCAGAGCTTTCTTGTCACGCCAAAATCCTAGCACCAACATTTACAATGTATTCATTACCAAAAAGACTTCATTAACATGGAGTTAAGATTACCCAGTTCTGCCTCATGTCTTTCCAAAATATGGAAGCACCCATCAATTCAGACCTGTCACAAACGGGCCACACCCAGCCACAACTAAATACATAGCTAGGTTAGAAAACCAGAATGGCACAGTCAGTGTAATGCCAACTGCACCACACACCCTTCACTCCTCCCCCTTTAGGCTAAACTCAGAACTCTGCAAAACAGGAAATAGGGGGGTCAAGATAATGCTTCCCACACCACACCTCCACATAACCTTCACACTGCCCCCTTTGATGGAGGCCTGGAAGGGAGATCACAGGACCGTAACCATGCCAAAGATATGGAGGAGAGTGAAGAAGAGTACTTTGGGGAACCCGTAAGGACTTCAAAGTTGTCCAAGCCATTTCATTCTTATAAGAAGTTGTCCCTAAAACATCACCTTAGCTTATCCCTCAATGACCCTGGTGGTCCAGCGATGTGTAAACAAACGTTAGTTCTCTCCAGAGCAGTGGTTCCCAAACTTTAACAACCTGTGAACCCCCTTCACTAAAATGTCAAGTCTCGCGAACTCCCTCTTAAAAATGAATATTTCCAGGGATTTTCTCCTTTACCTGAGTTTAAATTATAAAAGCAGTGATATTGGAAACATAAATTTTGTTTTTATGACATGCTTATTACACACTATTATTAATCATTACAGTATTTTTATTACATTATGAAAATGGCAACACACTTGCAAGATCTCACTTTCGTAGCTTGTATCACTTGGAATAAGCCTGTTATAAGACAAGGCTCCTATGTTTCATCAAGGAGTATCAGGGATGAAGGTATTTAAGAAGCCAACTCAAAGAGTTCCTCCAACACAAGCATTCAGGTCTTAAACAGTCCAGGCAAACAACGCACATTACAACAAAGCTTAAACTTGTTCTTCATCATAATTTTAAAAACAATACTAGCTGCCTATTTAATTTTAAAAACAGCAAAAAATATTTACCTCGCTTTCCATTTCTTATAAGGAGGCTTGAAGTTTAAATCTCCTCAGTGTGATAGAGATGCTTGCTTTGATCTGCTTAGCTCTTGGAAGTCCAGGGGCTCTGGATTGCTGGCCTGTGCTGCCCAGGGTCCCTAGGGACAGCTCTGTCCGCCATTAGGGAATGTTTTCCCGAGAACCCCGTGTAACATTTT